ATGTCGCCAACACTTTCACAACATTTTCAACAACGTATTGATTGAGAACCCTTTGTTTTTGAGGGAGCCCCAACATCATTTCATTTTACTTTGGCAAATGTTATTATTAAATTACACTGAATGACTTTACTGCAAGACTTCTGCTAAACATTATTGTGCTCTAAACTATACATAGCTCATGGCTTGTTTTCCTACTCCTGAAACAAGATGGGTTTTGCCAAAGATTTCAGAAAGGCAGTGCTCTTTCTAAAATTATTGCACTCTTGACTTATGACTTAATATAACTGGCTTGTTGCTTAAATGTTTGCATTATTAAAAGTGCATCATAAAATGGTATTATTTATGTTTGACTCAATAGTAAAAGATTTTTTTTTAAGACTGACTTCCAGCCAAACCATTTTTCCATTACCAATCAAGGTCAGATCACATTAAAATGGATGTGCTGAACTTGAATTCATAACTGTCACAAATCTTAGTGAATGTACATTAGAGTTCAGATGCAGCCTTCAGCTCATATATCATATGCACGCACATTGCATTGATCTTAATATGCTTGTCAACCGACAGTCAAGATACAATCATTAACTCATCCACTCGGTCCATACTGAAGATGTGCAATTAGGACTTCCAATTGTAGCCATGTTGGTAATGGTTAGCTTTGACAGTTTGCCTACTGCACTAATAATTACAGCAACATTATCTAAATTATTTGACAAGTGTTGGTTTTGACCATAGTGTAGTACCTGCTCTTTTCAGTTAGCCACTGAGCTAACTGGAATGTGATGCCACCCACAGGATTTGACACAAAAAAGGGGTTTAGGAACATAAGTCAAAGGCTATCAGTGAAATAGAGCAAAGGTTATCAGTGACATAGAAATCACAATTTTACATGTACAACATTTATAGGAGATTATTTCTCAAGCTAAGAAACTACAAAAGTTCTAAACAGAGAAGTTAATTGCAAAACTTAGGGTAATTTGCCTTCTTTAGGTCTGTTTCCACGTACTAAGGACCATGTCTTATGTCTGAACTTTGAGCTGGCGAAATTGCATATCAGGCTCTTTTGCCATTTGAGTTAGAAGATCTGTAAGTGCACTCTGCCTGAATGAGATACCACACAACTCTTTGTCCATTGTGTAAATACCGTAGCTTGTTTCAATGTGTAAGCTATTTGCTTTTCAAGACAATAGTCATTATTTCTTGACCATCATTTCATAGAATCATAGAATTATACAGAAGGAGGCCATTGGCCCATCGTGCCAGTGCTGTTTCTTTGAAAAGAGCTATCCAAATCAATCCCACTCCCCTGCTCTCTCCCATAGCCCTGCAAATTTGTCCTCCCCAAATAATTATCTACCTTCTCTTTTAAAAGTTGTTATCGAATCAGCTTCCACCACCCTTTCAGGCTATGCATTCCAGATCCGAGCAACTTGCTGTGTGAAAAAATGTCTCACCTCCTGTCTATTTCTTTTAACATCTATTTTAAATTGATGTTCTCGGGTTACCCACCCACCTCCAGTGGAAATAGTTTCTCCTTGTTCACCCTATCGAATCCCCTCATAATTTTCAAAACTTCTATTAAGTCTCCTCTTAACCTTCTCTGCTCCAAGGAGAATAATCCTAGCTTCTCTAGCCTCCCCTGATAACTGAAGTCCCGCATTCCTGGTACCATCCTGGTAAATATCCTTTGAACCCTCTTCAATGCCTTGACATCATTCCTAAAGTGTGTTGCCCAGAACTGAACACAGTAGTCTAGCTGAGGCCTAACCAGTGTTTTATAAATTCCCAGTTTTATAACTCAAAATAAGGATCCTTGAGATTGTGACAATCAGCACCAGTTTCCATTAAGGAACAAAGGCTTTATGAGGAAGTAGGAGTGTAGAAACATATTTCATAAACAGAATGATATAGAGATAAAGGACTGTAGTCGGATTCCGCCACCAAAGAAACACACACACACAGCAATTACCTTGTCACCAGAAGTAAAATGTGTTCAATATTCTGCTAGATATGTGTCTCAACAGTTCCTTGTAATGTTTATGACTTCTATTGCCTCTTCTTGTAAGATAAATACTATTCAACAGTTCAGTCAACAAGTTTTAAATAGGAAAGGTTGAAAATGGGCCTCTGATCACCGTCATTCAGGCAGAGTGCCTAAATACTGGCTGTGGGCCACATATCTCATAGCCATCAGGGAAAGCCACAGGATATTCTACAGAATCCAGGTGGTTAGTATCAGAGATGCCAACATTACGGTTTGAAAAATATCCAGTGATAGGATTTGGGGTGCAGGTTGTTGATCAAGGAGAGATGGATGGTATTGCTTTAACTAATACAATTATTATTTTTTGTGGAGGTATTGGTGCAATAACTTGCAAGCTATTTTAAGTTTTCTTTATGGCATTTCCTAATTTTGCAGTTGCAGTACATTTCACTTATCGATTATTTTGCTTTCTTTATGAATAGAACAAAGGTGTAAATCAAAACCTAGTCAATGCACTGAAATCAGTATGAAACACTGAAGACCATAGGAACCACTCCGTGCCTAATGCAATTCAAATTAGAGCTTCATTGCAGGTTCCCAGCACTCTCTTTTGGGCTCTCATTGGGTTTCAGTAACTTTGCGGCAAAATAACTATCAGTTTGTCACTGAGGAAATTTGTTCTGAAATTTTCTTTAATACCCTCAGGCACTTTATGTAAATAATCACCTTTAGTTTATACAAATGGCCTTCTTTACTTCACCTATTAAGTCTGCTATTTCAGAACACGTTTTGGATTGAATGAACAGCGTATGCAATTGTCTTTGTGGGTAACATGCACTGAATTTACATCTGGCTTTGTACACACACACACACATGAATTTTCCCAATTTGAGTTTTCTTAACAAGGGAGTGCACTGCATTTGCAAATACTGGAATTTTGCATTGAACACAAAGATATCAGTGCAAGTGGAGCGCAAAATACAGACACATAACGACTAAGTGGCAATAATTAGTCGAAACAGTAGAGTTCAATCCCCAACTTGTTGATAATTGTGCCACAATGACTGGCTACCCTTTGGGTAGAGCCTCAGCACAAAAGATACCTTCATATTTTCCATGTGTGTATATAAAGCAAATTACACATTATACATGGTCTGTGGAACAAATGGATTCAGTGGTTTGAATGGCTTTGTCTCACTCCATGCTTTATGTTATGTTTTCCTTGCAGTGTGGCTGACTAGTGAAATCACCTCTCAGTAGGTGGCCAGGGAGATTTGCTCAGCAGAAGGCCTCTTACCCAAGGGCCCCAAGGAAAAGGCATTGACGAGCTCCGAGACAGGCATCATAGGTTTGTGACTATCCTAGCAATAGTTTCCCCGCCAGATACACTTCTTCTAGATACACTGAAATGACTGCTGCCTTTCTCTGGAAACAGAATCACATAAGAGCTTTGAGACCAAAAGGATTTATTTGTGGCCAGCACAATAATTCGTCTTGAGGTCACTTTAACTTAAGTATTCAAACACTCCTGTCAAAATTTGTCAGACTGAACATATTTTTAGCCCAAGTCTCCCTCTGGTGGATGCATAGAAACAATAACAAGTGACAATTTACAGCAACCAACACCTTCTTTAACACAGCAGATGCTTCTTTCACTGGATGGGGAAGCACATCTGGAATCCAGATGGGTGCAAGGGACTTCCTGGGAAGCTTAGGAGCATAATACCCGAATAGAGCTGAGCAAAGTTTAGCCACCCCTTTCAGTACTTCCGCTCCCTGCTGTCAGACCATTCAGTCCTCTTGTGCATGGGCAATACCACCATAGTAAAACAAGGGGAGCACAAAGTCGATTACGCTTTAAAAATACACCCGAGATTGGCTACTGATACAGGTGATGTGAATCGTGGTTTAGAATCATACTTAGGAAGGATAAGCAACAACTTGCACTTATACCGTGCCTTTCACTTAGGTCTTGAAGCATTTCAAGTAACTGGTAAATCTGACACAGGATTCAATACTGCCCTATATGACCATCAAGTGGCAGCACCTAACCTTCCAGTGGGAATTGATTTATAAAGAGACCTATTTGCCCTTGTGGTTTCAAAGGTCAAGTTTCAGGGAATTCTACCCTGTATGGTCTGGCATTTCTAAGGAAATCTCTATAGGTTTTTCTCATTAGACTGGATGTAGAAAGAGAGGCCTTTATTATCTTTATAAAGGTATTCATTAGCACAGCCCTGGCTGAAAGCAAAAGAATGATTTGCTTTCAGAATGAAAAGAAAAAAGAACATTTCCTTGGCCTGACATTTCCAGCAACCCAATGTGGGCTTTAAATAATGATCAGTGGTCCAGAGAGAAACATTGATGTATAAACCACAATTGAAGCAAAACTCAAGGTTTTAGTTAAACATTTTTTGCAGATCCTGTGCTATAGCATGGTTAGAAACAGGTTTAGACCTGTTGAATTTTCATCTCACTCAGAGCAAATCAGCAAAAACTTGAAAGCGAGTCTATCAAGATGTGTCACACGTATGTTTCAATAGCTAGTTTACGAGCAGTCCTGGTAGTGGTCTGGGAACAGGTTACCTTCCTACATCCTTGTTCTGGAAATGCTGAGTGATGCGGAGCTTCTGAGGAGGTAATGTAACTGCAAACACGGGAAAATATTTTTATAAACTGTTGGCAATCGTAAGACTAAGGGAAGATGATAATAATAGCTGAGCTGCGATTATAATACAACAGGTAAAGATGCTTATAATATCACTGTTTTACAAGAGAATCGATCATTTTTCATGAAAGTATGATCTGCTGTGGCCAAAGGAAGGCTGAGAATATTTGCACGGTGCCATTTTTAACCCACAGTTACACTGCACAGAAGTGGATTGGTGGGTGTTTAATTTGCTGAAATTGCTGTATTAAACTACTGACTGGAATAAAATGTGCAAAGAACATTTAATTTGTTAACTGTTTGAGGGCTGTTGTGGTATCCCTGCTAAATAATGAAACTATAACAAGATTTGAGTATTTTGTTTATTCAACCAATAAAATTAGAAGAAATGTTTGCATTCTTAGTGTTGTACAAATTATGACTTGTATTAGTCAGTGTGACGGTTTCATTGATCATTTATAACAGTTCATATATGACTTTTTTTTCCCAATGTAAAGGTTATTCAGTCCTCAAAGGGTTCATAGAAATGCTGATTGAAGTAGAGACGGAAACCTAAAGTAGAAAATAAGTTATTTCCAGTTTTTTCATGGTCAGCAGTTTTTTTTTTAAAAAAAGAAGTCAATTCCAAATGAAAAAGCTATAAATAAACACCATCAAAATACAACCAAGTCAGAGGAGGTGAAAAACCACCTGGTTGACCAGCATAGAACGGCTACAGAAGGTACAAAAATACAATTTACCTATATGCTGTCCTACCACCTCATACTGAATGTCTCCTTCTTTGTTCCCACTGGTGTCAGGATGGCTTAGCGCTTTGCCAAATAACAGACATTGTGAGCAATGGGAACAAGACTATAGTGTAGCATTTCTGGACTACACTGCAGAGATTCCTGACCTCAACCTCACTGAACGCCTCCGAGACAAATTAAAGGAGAAAAGAGAAAGAGGTCTGCACACAAAATGTGGGAGAACGTGTAGCGTGTTCGCAGGAGGAATGGATTGTGATTCCAGTAGAGGTGTGTAAGAAATACATTTCCTCTATGACATGCAGACTGCTGTCTGTCATCAAAGCTCATGGATATGCTACCCATGGCTGTCGTCTCTGTAGGTGTGTTGCAATATCAACCAACTGTGAAAAACAGAAATGGGTCGTATTTTTGTTTTAGAATGGTGACTGAATCGCTTCTAATGCAGTCAGTACTTTCTGGTAGGCAGCATAGAGTAAAACAAAATTAACAGATGCTATTTGACTCAAATACAAAGAGAAATTAAGTGCATGGTTTCCCTTTATTATACTGTACTAGTTATTGCAATCAGGTAAGTCACATTTTAGAAGCAAACACCATCCAGTTGCACTGCAATCATTTTTTTTTCTTTACATAATTTCTCATTGTACTGTGAACTGGCCAATCCAATTAAAACATTCTTTGACGAAAAGAAAAAAATATTTTGACAATGGCAAGCTATCACATCACGCCTATCACAACTGGCTAAAACTGCAATTAAAAGCAAGTATGAACAAAATACATCTAGTTATGCAACACCTATTAGTTTACTACATTAAGCAGCAAAGGACAACAGCAACAAAGCTGATGTTTCTAACACACTATAACTCTGATTAGAAGCAAAAGCTGTGAATTCACTAGTTAAAAGCAGGACAGAAAAATACTGAGCATAGAATACTTTTAATCTGTTACATTAATATTCATTTCAAACTGCTTATAATAGCAGTGCCTCATGGCCAAATCATTAATTTTACATCTGGGTTTCAAATGACACTTTGATTGGATGTAATGTTCAAAAGTTCTCTCCCACTGTGTCTCTGTCGAGTCTTCTGCAGAGAATATGTCTCACAGTGCTGACACCTTACTGTGCGTGCTGACTCATCATGTGGTTCTGGCAAGACAAAAAAAGACCCATAAGGGATAAATAACACGTGTCCATATCCACCCAGTTTCACTGCAAATAATGTGTAAACTCCTGTACAATTTTTGCTTTATGCATAGACAAAGCAGCAGCTATTTTATACGATTTACCAGCAGGGAAGGTCTTGACATACATACCTTTCTTTGTCTGTTACGCATACATTCCTTAAAAATGTTTGTTTTACTACAGTAAGACTAAAATAAGGTACCTTCATATTTTTACATTTCTCTGGTGAAATCTTAAAACTGGTGCAACTAGTATGAGTCTCAAAATGTATTTTGATCTATATGACTACTTTAATTCATGGTATCCATATATATTCTGCGTCACATATAAATTGGGACATATAGGCATATGAGAATAAAGAGTCAAAAGGCTGTCCAAATGCTCAAATGCAGCAATGATCCTTTTACTGGTGTCTTTCGTGTAAAATGTTTTGTCAATACTGTATTAAGTATATTCTGTTTTTCCACCAGAAGAGGGAAGCACAATACCTTTGTTTTTCTTGCCTGCCATTTAAGTAGCTCCACCAGTTAAGGAGAATAGTTCTTAAGGGACAACATGCCCCCATTGTTTTCAATAAGAGTCTGTTCTGGTAAGATTCAATTTTGGTTCAAGAATATAAATTTCCAGTCCATACATCCAAACTGGAGATATAACTTAAACAGGAGGTTAATAGTCTTAACTTATTTGTAAATGTTGATGGACTGACTCAGATAAAAGCATCAAGTTTAACACTACTGTGCTTAGAATGAAACCAAATAATCCAATCCATTTCAGTAGTTCATTGGCAATTTATTGTCTCTACTAATGCTGGCTCATGCAGATGCCTTTCACATTCATTGTTTCACTTGCGTGTAAATCTATAAGGATGTTAGAAAGTACACTCAATGATTGGAGAAGTGGAAGATGAAGGCAGGGATGATTCAGCATCAATTCCACCTCCAGTTAATACTGATATGTGTCTGAATCAGAATTGGCGTGAAACCTATTCCATGATGTACTAAAAATCAGATGATAAGATTCAGAACTACAGTAGTATTCACAAACACTCATTGACTTAAGACTTCAGCAATAAAGTTGCTGATTACCTGCGTAATTGTGAAAAGATTTAGATATATTTAACATATTACATTCGGGACAGTTATGGTTATATCAGGTACATAGAAAATGGCTGGGTTCTATTTGGGAAAAAATGTCGGTTGAGTATACGAAACCAAACAAATCTATAATCAATTTTGTGTATTAAATAAATGGAATTCTTGAGCTCTACACTGGCCTAAAGTCATGTCAGTCTATGGTCTTAGGGCTAGAACAATATTACGAACAGAGTGGTTTTATGCATCAATGACACCACAAATCTTAGATTCATCCATTTTCTATTGTAAATGAAACAACATTTTGAGTTTTGAAATCTGTATTAGATGCACACAAATATAAGGATTCGGTTATTACTAACTGGACAAATAAAAGATGAGACCACGAAAAAAATCCTGGGTTTCATATTTCTTCCATGTGCCCAGTGGCAGCAATCAAGTGATATAAAGAAATATTGGAGCCCAGCATCGTCTTCAAATCACACATTCAAACTATTCTAACTGAAGCAGATGTCCTACCAAATAAGGATGGTTTGTGGTAGAGCCATTAATCGAGTAATTGTACTGCTAACCTCATAAAAATCAACAGCAGTTGTCATAAACTTTACTTTTTCCAAAAAAAATCCACAGAGAAGCTTCTTGTCCCCATGGCAAGCTCACCATGTTGGCACTAGGCCAGTGTGGGGAGCTGCAGCTGTGCATTCCCTCCTCCTGCTGACTGACCCGGTTTCCCTGGTAGTGCATTGGATAGAGACAAATGTGATAAGCTTATTACTACCACATCTGTCCCAGTACCTGACATTGGGCAAATGCATTGTCCGGTGGGACTGGCTATGTGAGGTAGCTGCCCTAAAACTGAACAAAAGGGAAATGCTATTTGGATCAAAATTCACACAACAGCATATTTCACTTGCGGCAGGCACATTAGCCTTCGAAAGCTTTTTAAATGTTCACATTTACTGTCAACATAAGAAGTAATGTTTTCATGAATAACGATAACTTATTTTAGATACACCCCAAATGATGTAGCTTTTTGTAGCTGTAACATTTGTAATGGAAAACAACTGGTTGATAACTAAACAATGATACCACTGAAGATGAATTTTATCATTATTACATTTACAATGTAAATAATATTGAATTTTATTCAATGGCTTATCAAATAATAGGTACAAATAGGTGTGAACACAGAGAGAGTATTGCAAACTTAGAGCATGGAATGCTACAGCTCCTCCCAGGGAGACTTGTTACAAAAGTATTTTCTAACTTGCTATCCTCAACCTTAGAAAGGAAGTAATGATAATTGTTTCTGTCATCTCAGACTTTACATTAAAAGTAGGCTGGATGTTGATACTTAGTGCAGAAGTCTTTAAAAAAATGTGTATGGAAAGCTAGGCAAGTGCCGTGCTCGCTTATGTTCTGATCACAGTGAGGTAGACACTTCATGATACCAGAGTTCTACACAAATGTGAAGCTCTCGGATGGCCTATAACTAACGGGGCAATAACGACAGCCAGAATGTGGAATATTGAAGGATTGATTATAGACAATTCGACCCATTCCACTTTTCCATTCATAGAATCTTTTACTATTTTTCTGGGCGATGGTGTAATTTTGGTGCCAGCTGTGTGGAGATGTGCATGTGCCAGAAATTGGTAGTTTATTTGTCAGCACTCTGCAGTGCAGATTTGGACCAGGGCCATATGCAAATGAGATGATAATACAGCCTGTTACACTTTCTGCCATCAGTAAATTAAGGGGTTATTCCCCAGGATTAATCCTATTTTTTAAAAAAAAGATTCGGCAGTCCTTATTTTTGAAAATAATATCTACAAAAATACTAATAATCATGCTGAAGTTTAATATTTTCTTGTACATTCACAAGCCAACATCACTTAGTGCTCTTTCTAAATTACATATAGAAGGAGCAAATTAATAATAGTAGAAAACTGAATTTAAGTAGCAAAGTCAATGTCTTCATAACATTGTTCATTCCTCTCTCCATTTAACTCTGCAAAATATTTCTCACCGTGTCCTACTACTTTCATTACCGAACTATATATTGAGTTAGTTACATCGCATTGTTTTTATACTCCCCTAGTCAGTGTGTGCTACAGTCAGTTGTTATGTTTCTCATTATTCTCTACCTCTCTATTCAGTGTACCCGGTTATACAGTATGTCATTGTTATGTATGCTTTTGGTCAGCATGGTTTATATTCAGCTGGTTAAGCTTCCACAGATTACCACAACATCCTTAGTTTATGCAGAAATTGAGCCTGTACTGACGTCACTTCTGCCGATTTACAGCCTGGTAGAAATTGCTGAGAAATGCTTGCAATAATAAACCAGGGGAAAGCAAGTCATATAATCAAAGCAACCACTTTACCAATGTGGTAATTGATGTTAAAGTAAAGAAACAAATCCAAAAAAAATCTGTTTAATCACAAACAGATACATTAATAAAGTCTATTGTCTCTTTAAATTATGAATTATAAATGGGTTTAACTCACAAAAGAATTACAGTATTACTAAAGATTAGTTGCTCTAATGCTCATTAGTTAGACATTAAATCAGCAGTTCAGCTGATATATTATATACAATTTATAGCGTGCAAATATCCTTATAAGACTTTCAGAATGCCGTAGTGAGCTAATTCTCTCAGGTAATCAAATGACTCCACTGTAACCCCATGGTTCTTCTTCAGACTGCCCACCAGGTGTCACAGTTGCTATTATTACTTCATCCTATGACTGCATTCGAACATTTCCAGACTGAAAATCAAAACACAATGGTGGACTTCACAGACTCCTTTCTGTGAAGTCCTCCTAAAGCTGTGCCACGGCTGCCAAACTTCAATCAACACTCTATTAATTCAATAAACCATCGTTTTTCTTGCTAAAGCACATGCATACTGTGTTTTATTTGTTATTATTAGCAACCTTTTCCATTGAGTGCCACATATTATTCAGCATTTTTTAAAAAAATGTATTTCAGAATCTTAGAATGATTCGTATACTGGTATATTTCTTTTATATTTTGCTTGCAGTTAATTGCAAAATTATTATTTAGAGTTGAGGCAGAAAAAATAACCCTGCCCCAATGAGAACTCCACCCCAAAAGCAGCCACCTTTTACAATATTGGTTAATCCATCCTCTATTGGCATCAGTCTCTTAGGAGATAATGCAAAATCAGCACTGCAAGCATGGACCCGAATCAAATAGCATTATTTCTTCTTCTGTTTGTGGCTGCTAGACTGATTACACAGGAAGGATCAATAAAATTAACGCTTTGTGGGACTGAATCTGAAAACGACCTATTGAATACCGAACATAAAATCCTGAACCGGGAATTACTCACAGCATGCCCAAACCAAATCTAAATCATCTGTTGAATTGATTTTCATTTTGTCTTGAATAAGTGGATATTTCTAAAGAATTACAATGCACTATTCTCCTATTTTGTATTTTATAACTGCTTATTCAAGGTATACTTCTTCAGTTCAATCAGCATCTCCAGAATGCAGCCTGAAAAACTACCCTGGCAGCTGAGTAATTACTACACCCAGACAGAATCTCAATGTCTCTGTCTAACCCAACTGTCAAAAAAGTTAACACACCCGGACACACCAGTATGCGCTTGATTTACAACAAACATTTTGTATTTGAAATAATCAGTACATTCCAAGACAGCACTGGCCAAACTGTGACCCGCGGGCTAGTCAGAGCCATCAAGAATCCCCACCGAACATGCGTACTAGTCTAGGTAAGTCTACGTTTGATTGGTTGTGCGTTTAGACGTTTTTCTTAATTGAATATTTCTTGATTTATGGCATAAATATTCATATGAAGAAAATGTATTTTGTTAGCCAACC